TTTATTTAAATTAAAAGAATTGTTATCATATTATCGTAATAGATTTTAGAAGTACGACTACTATTGTGGATTCGGAAACACCTAATTGTCTATCTTCGATTCGAAACAAGATCATTTTGGTATCGTTAATGTGTCGTCAACGATTATTATCGTCACGTAATTTTTGGTTCGGAAAGAACCATTAGTTTCTCTTTTGTATTTCATATGTTGAATTTCTTCAAAGATTAAATCAATTTTTATAAAATAAAGTGTAAAGAAAAAAATGTGTACCATATTAGTGGTAAGCTAGAATACTAATGGCCGAGAGCTTTATGGTGCAGTGGCTTTCTCCACTATATACACGCTCATAAGACATTTAGGTTAGGTTCAAACCCAACCATTTTAAAAAATGGGTTAGTAGTCCAGTCCGTTGTGGCCACGCTGGTAAAAATAAAATAAAAGACTGATGTTTAGTTTATAAAAATAAAAAGTAATCTAAATTTATTTTATAATAAAATAAAATAAAATAAATTTGGATTACTGATGTGTTTGAAAAAGACAAAATTACCCCTCAGAAAATCTGGGCCTTGCACCGATCCGAGACAGATCACTGGGCACGAATACGATCCTCTTCCTCTCTCCTTGGTGTGTGTTGAACTTTGAAGAAGACGTCCAGGAGCTTCGTTTCGTTTCCATCTGTGAGATCTCTGACACTTTCTCCTCTCTTTTCAATCAATTGGATTGTCCCGATCTCACTGATTCTCGTTACGATTGATTCTCGTCGCAGGAGGGATCAGGACCAGACATGGCTTTTCTTGTTACCTCCCTAATCTTCGCTGTGGTCGGAATCATTGCTTCAATATGCACTAGAATCTGCTTCAACAAAGGCCCCTCCACCAATCTGTATGTCCTGATTTCTTTTTCCCTTCTTCTCCTTTGATCGATTGCTTCGTCAAGTCAAGGTTAATGTTTACAGTTTGGTTCTCCCTTATCAATTGAGTAGCTCCGATCATTATTTATCTCTTTGCGCTTCGAATCGAGAATTGGTAGACTAAATATTATCTCTTCCTCATTGACGTTTAGGGAATCTCTATACTTTTTCTCGGAATTTGTTCCTTTCTGTGATTGTTTCTTCAATGTAAACACAAGTACTGTCACAATTCTAACTCTTATGCTGCCAAAAATGGTTCATGTTTTCTCAGATTATAACTGTCTGGCTTGTTGTTTCATCCGTATACTCCTTGCCTACTTCTTTGCTTGGAAACACATTTTCATTAACTATTCTTTGTTAAACTGTAGATATCAAATCTTTGCTTCTTTTATGTAACAGGCTACATCTTACCTTGGTCATTACAGCCACTGTCTGCTGTTGGATGATGTAAGTTTTCACTA